AAGTATGTAATATAATGCATTAATTACATATCACCAACATGTGAACAATTTCTACGAAATTTAAAATAATAATAATAATAATAATGGTAGTGGAATAATATTAATAATAAGTTATAATTAACAGCGTTAACAAACAATGCACTTTGTGATCTCGTAACATGGAAAAGTTATTGATTGACCTGGTCATCAGGTGTTGTTGAAAGAAAAAAATTGATCACCATCATTAACATCATCAGTGACGTCATCATCATCATCCTCATCATCATCACAACAAAAGCAACGAAGCAATAGGCAAAACTTCAAAACAATTTAATACAAAATAACGACAACAACAAGGACGATAATAAAATAAATAAATAAAATGAATATATATATATACTACAAAAGTATTGCCGACAACAAGATTATTATGGCAGAGACATGAACAAGTGTAAAGCAGAGGTGTGGTGATGTTCATAGAATACGGTTCCTCCTTCAATTAAAGAAATATGTAATTGTCAACAATTTTTATTGACTATGTTTCCTGGTTGTGATGTTTTGTTTTGAAAACTATACTATCATCATCATCATCATTGTGGATGCAAGTGGTTTTGTTGTAGTTGTTGTTGTTGTTGTTGTTGTTGTTGCAATAACATATCGTTTACAGGTTCAGCAAATGCCATAACATCACAATTGAAATTTTGTTGATGTTGTATATGTTGTTGCTGCTGTCTCAGAAGGTGTTTTTGTTGATGATACTGCTGCTGCTGTTGTTGGTGGTGGTGATGATAGGAAGATTGCTGCTGCTGCTGCTGTAGACTAGGATCTGTATACATTGGCATCATCTGACGCTGTTGAGTCTGCATCGTTTGCTGCTGCTGCTGTTGCTGTTGTTGAAACGGTTTTGTTGGTAACAACTTTTGTTGCGGATAATTTGCAACAACTGGAGGGCAATCAACCAAAGCTCCACCCCCCACCATCATCATTGATGAATGCTGTGATTTGATTGGATGGTGACCATCGCTTAGTATAATTTGATTGGCCGCTGTTTTCATAATGCTGTTGTTGTTGTTGTTGAGATATGAATCAACGAGATCATCAGAGCTCATCGACATTTGTTGATGTTGTTGTGAATGTTGTTGAGGAAAATGTTGTTGTTGTTGAAATCTGTCTTGATAGTGAATGCTGTTATTGTTTGGCAGCCTGTTTGAAAAGTTTTGCTGCTGTTGCTGCAGGTGATATTGTTGTTGTTGAGTCAACATGTGATGTGGTTGTTGTTGGTGTTGTTGTTGTTGTACCGAATGCTGATGTTGTTGTTGTAGCATCAAATGTTGTTGCTGAGCATGCATTGCAACAAAATGTTGTTGCTGCTGCTGTTGCGGATAAAACTGATGCTGCTGTTGAAATGAGACTTGTTGCTGGTGAGGTGGCGCTAGATGCTGTTGTGGCTGCCTTTGTAGAGGTGGCGAGATCATTTCTAAAGAACCGGGAATAAAATTTTGTTGTTGCAGTTGTTGAGGATGAATCAACAAATTGTTGTTGTTGTTGTTGTTTGATGGTGTTGCCATGTTGTTCTTGTTATTCTTTAACAACATATTTGCAGGCAATGTCGATGGAAAGTCAGGAGCGCTGTAACGAGGAGCGGGTTGCTGGGATAGAGGACGAGCTTGCTGATGTTGTTGTTGTAGAAAATGTTGCTGTTGAAGTTGATGCTGCTGATGAAAGTGTTGAGGCTGTGGCTGCTGTTGATGTTGTTGTTGCGGAGTCAGTGAAGATTGTTGAAAAAAAGTTTGATGTTTTTGTGGAAGTGGGTTACCGGGTTGGCCTGGAGAGTTGACGTGTTGAAATTTTGCTGGCAATATAGGTGTGCAACTGTTGCTTTCTATGCCACTCAACAAATCATCAACAAATGAATTGTTGTTGCTGCTGCTGTTGTTGTTAATAATATCATTGTTCATACTGTTGTCGATACTCGCAACATTATCAAATTGATGCTGTTGTGCTTGCTTTTGATCCCTTAGTGTTACAAACTGTTGTTGCCTGTGCAGCAGTTGTTGCTGCTGCTGTTGCTGTAGTCGCTGCTGTTGTTGGTGCAGTTGCTGTAACTGTTGGTCCTTAGAAGCTGCTGCACTATAAGCAGTATGACCAGATAACATCTTATCAGCATTTAGAGATGATGAGCCGAAAATTTTTTGATCACTGCTAACAAGTGATGATGTGGTCTGCAACAAATTTGTTGTTGTTGCAGCTGTAAAAGTAGCTTCATTAGCCGCTAATGTTGATGTTGTTGATGTGGCTGTTGCGGTTGTTGTATTTGACGTTGTTAAAGAGGTAGCAACAGCTGAAAGCAGCCTGTTAGGAACGCTCTTTTCTTTCAAAAATTTGACCAGATTCAAAACCAATGAAGGATTTGATTTCAAAACCCTGGAAGCTTCAGGGTTCCTTTTAGCATTTCTGAAAAAGTTTAAAATTTGCTGCACGGCATATGGATTTGTTTGGTTTCCTCTTAAGTTAATCGTTCCGTCAAAAATTTTGCTTCCACTAGTTGAAGGCTGGTTGTCAACATTTTGTGAGCACACGGCAGCAGTATCATTTGGTTGAGAGAAGATGAGTTTACAGAGGTTCTGCTGCTGCTGCTGCAGAGTGTCCGGTAACATTTGCTCCACAGCAGGAATAACATCTTTCAGTTGAGAACTTTTCATTAACTGTTGCTGCTGCTGTTGCAACAATTCACCACCACTAGATCCGTCGATAAATTTACACATCCCCTGATCACTAAATGAATGTCTAAGATGAGGTCCAGTTAGTGAAACAGGGATGTGTGGACTGCCATTTAATGAATGACTTGTGATAATTTGATTACTAGAAGGTACGACGCGTTGCTGCTGTAAATGCTGCGTCTGCTTCGTATCCATTTTCATGGCTGGCGACGATGATGCATTCCTACTAGGAGACATGCAGTTAAATAACTTACCGCCACTGCTACTACTACAGCCGCTAAAACTCCTGCTGCTATTGCCGCGACCACCGATACGAGCTTCTCCGTTATCTACAACCATCTCTCCTCCAGTTGTATTGTTAGCGTTCAAGTTAAAATTATTAGTATTGAAGTTATTACCATTCATATTATTATTAAAATTATTAAAGTGCATTGCAGTGCCTTTACTATTTTGGTTACAGTTATTATTGCTGATGGAGGGATCAATTTTAATGCCTTTGTAAGGAATGATGATAGATTTGTTCATGTTTGTCATCGTTCTTGGACTGAATGTATTGGCGTTGTTGATAATGTTGTTGCTACTGCTGCTGATGTTGCTACTGTTGTTGTTGTTGTTGTTGTTGTTGTACTGGTTAATGATATGTGATTCACTCGCCATATTGTTGACGTCAACATAGTTGATTGATTTGTTACTTTCGTTGTTGCTGCTGTGAATGTGTTGAGACTGCTGCTGCTGAACATCAACGTTACTATCAAGCCCGTAGCTATAGATGTTCTCATCATCGTTGTTCGTATTGTTATTATCATTGTTCTTATTACTGATGAACTTATCATCATTGGCGTTGTCATTGAAGCAGTCGTTTTTATTGCTACCACCAGCAGCGTCTACGTCGTCGTCCAACTCCCTCATGTTCATGATGCGACGCCTGGTCAGTTGCTCGTGCTTGATCCTCTCATTCTTCCTCCTCAACTCCAACTTCTTTCTGACATTGTTACACGAAGGCACAGGGCATTTGTTCCTCTCCTTGCACATCTTGGCGTGATAGAGACAGAGTCTAGCCATCTGAGAACAAGTACCGCAATTCTTGCTGTGGTTGTTGTTCTTGTGAGTCGGTTTGTTCTTTAGTTTGATTATATCTTGAAGGTGCTGGATGAACTGTTTCATGAGTATGCAACTCTTTATTCTGCAGTTTCCATCTCTGCAGCTAGCAGCATGGACAAGAGCCTGCTCGTATTTTTGCAGCCAGGTCTGTCTCAGTTTGTTGATGTTGCTTGCATCATTTTGCTGCTGTTTCTGAGCAGATGTTGATGCTGCTGCTGAGTTTTGTTGTTGCTGAGTTGCTGATGTTGCTGCAGCCGTTGCTGAGTCATCTAGACCGAGGCCAACTTTCTTCATTTCATTGTGATGGACGTGTTTGAATTTCATGTGGCAATGGATGCATTGATCATAATCCTGAATTTAATTTCGTATTTAAATTATAACAAATAATCACTGCAACAAGCAATAAGAAAATGAAGAAAAGCAAGATCAACAAAACTTAATAGCAGCAATGCCTGAACAAGAGAGATATCAACAACAACCAACAACCGACCTCACAAACAGGGCAAT